CGCGCATACAAGTACGATGCTCAAGAGTACCCGGCGAGCGACCGGGAAGAGTATTATTATTATTTTTTTGCAATATTATACGGGGTAACGTGAAAAACGTGTGAAGAAAAACTCCCCCGCGCGGCCGCCGCCACTGCCGCCGACAAATGACGCGATTTGCGGGTAGTCAGAAGTAGGAAATCCGGTTTTATATGTAGGTATTTTACCTGGCGGGGAGTCATAATGGGACTATCCGTTTTGGTACGACCGCGATCTTTTTTGCAAGCTAGCGACGCTCTTAAGCGCGGCGCGCGCTGTGTTCAAATCTGCCGCACAACATTATTCGATTATTCAAATACCCCGGGCGATCGGTGGTCAATCCCACTAATTTTGTCGGTCTACATTTTTCAACCCTTCACTTATCTTTTTCTAAAATTGAACATAGTTCGTTGAAAATTTGTAGTAGTGTTAAATTGTAATAATTTTTATAATTCATAGCTTTTACGAAAACAACACTATATAAAATCACGGTTTAAGCGGTACATACTAGTGCACATAAAGTACCTAGCAAATAAACAAAATATAATTAATAAAATCAATACGACCAAGCAGTTATAATAGTTTCATAAATAAGAAATAAATACAAATATAAGACTAAACGTAATTAGATATGTTTAAAAAAATGATGTTAGGATTCAAAATGCATTTTCTTTTACATGCCCTCAACCTAATTACGTTTACGAACACATAATATACACACCTGCAGATAAATAATTGGTTTGCTTTGCATAACACACACACACACACACACACACACACACACACACACACACAAACAATTATTTATTAATATTATAACAGAGACACCGAGTAGGTACCTATTATTATTGCAAATATTCGAAAAATGTTTTATCGAGAATCACACAATATAAAAAAACCACGGGAGGAGACCTGTTGATGTTTCAATGTCGAAATTTTCTCGATAAAATCGGTTGTGCGTGCATGTGTGTGTGTCTGTATCTGTGATGATGGACTCGGGCCAAACGCGAAACACTATACATATACAAAATAATAATCTGTTGGAATGTGCGGCACACAGAATCTCGCGCGTTGTGCGACGCGACGTGTTAACATGACGCCCGAAATTCGGCACGTGCAAAGGCGCGCGACCCTCAACGACCCGAAAACGATTATAATTATTATTATTGTTGTTAACGATCGTAGTCTTCCACGCACACGATATCGTGTCGATCGCGCGGGCGTTATTGATGTGTAGAAGACAGACACACACACACACACACACATACAAACACACCGCTTTAGCGGACCGCGTCAAACGAATATTTTTGGGAAACCGTTTTTCAAGCCGAAGAGCTCGTCAAAGCAGCCGCCGACAAAACCTTATTATAATACGTACGTGTATATGTATTATATATTTTAACATATTTTATTGTACATAATGAATATTACCTATCTCGTGATAGTATTATATCATTATAATTTATATATATATTTTAAACGCAGTCATCGGTGTAGCGAGTGCGTTACAAAGTGGTTTAAAACAAGTGTGGCGGGAGGGGGGTGGATACGCAATATAATAATATGTTAATATTCGACGATTTCACTTTGACGATAGCTGACTCCTGCTGCTTAAATCCCTACACTACAGCAGTTCGCATTGTAAATTACCACGATGAGTTGTAACTCACCGTGATAGGGGGAGGGAGTGTTAGTGGAATCATCGAAGAACGTTTTAAGCACCCGTTTATTATATGGTGGCGGGGGATGAAATATTGATAGTAAAAATGCGGTGTGGAACGATATCCCCGGAATTTGACCATACTTAACTATTATATCTTATAATACACAATTTATATAAGAAACAATCGAGTAATAATAATAATAATAATAATATAATACGTACAATACGTGATCAGCGTTTGTTGCGAGTACGAGAATTTCGAAAAAATCGATTTCTAAACCACGCACAGTTTTTTGATCGCGCTAACAGTATATCATTATTATTATAGTGTATGTATAATATACATACACTATAAAAAGTAGCCCTTAATAATTTAACACGCGGAATCGAAATATCATATATGCGTTTCAAATAATATTATGTATACTCCTATAGATTATAATAGACATGCCGACTGCTGTAGCTATAAGAATAATAATAACAATAATAGTATACTAATATATATATATATATGAAACACTGCGGTACACAGAACGTATATTGTATATATATATATATATAAAGAGAGAAGTATATACTTTAGTCTATAGCGGTCGCCGACAAGGTGGAAAAGAAAAAAAATCTACAGACAAAAAGCCCTGTATACTTGCACGCATCAGCCGGTTCGTTTATACCGTCGCCGCTGCCTAGCGTTACACACTTTCCGTTTCTCTCGGAGATTCGTATCGGCTCGGACGTACGGACGATGGTCATCAATCAGAATAAATAAATAATAATAATAAAAAACAGTCTAGGTAAGGTATTTTAACATTATTATTATTATTATTATTACTAGTAAAGTATTATCCATGTGTATGCTATAACAGTTGTATGCTGTAATAACATATTATAACAGTACACTACGTCTCCGTCGTCATCTAATTTCGTGGCCGCTATTCGACAAGTTCTTATTTATCAAGTACATATAAAATGACCCAATATATTTATCATTGTATTACGTTATGCTGTAAAGATATATTAAACGTATGACGATTACTATAATCACATGCGTATGTTATATTACATAATTATTGTAATATAGTACAGGTTACGATCGACATAATTTATTAATTTGTTTTTTAAAAGCGCGGTTTTATTATGAAATAATAAAAAATTATCAATCATAAAAATATTGTGGGGAAATTCCTTTTCAGAGGTTATTAAAGACCAGTAGGAGCTGAAGCCGCGTAAAATACATTGTTTACTTTTTTTTTTTCAAATCTCGACACGTATCTACAAATATTTACACAAACATTCGTTTCGTTTTGTTGAGTGGCTACTGCGACGACGTCGTGGTTCAAAAACTGATTTTTATGAGTTAGTTTGTCGAGTACACATACTAATTGGTATTGGTACATAAAACAGAATTTTTTTTCTATCCTTATTGTCGTTTCCTTATTGCATGCTTAAAAATATTACAATTATGTATTGATTGTATTTTTTACTATACTTTTATCACTGCGTGATGAATTTCGCACTTAATATTTTTGGGGTAAGTTTCAGAGCTTAGTAATAGATCTAGTTTATTAATCATGCATAGGTAAACCTATATTTTTTATGCATTATTCAAATATTAAATTTATTTTCAAACGGTTTTCAAAGCACAAGTGGCTCAAAAAAAAAAAAAAAATAAATAAAATACACTTTGAACGCATTCTCAAAACAATTTTAGTACAACAAAGAACAAACCATAAATCGAATTATAATACATTATTAAATGAAATTATATTATAATTGGCCATTTGACTTGTGAGTGCATACATATTAAAAACTACAAGAATTATGAGCACGCGTGTACTGGATCCGAACGCGTAATGTATAATATTATTAATTATTATCATTCTGTTTAACTGCTATTTATTATTGCGTACGTTATTTACATGTTTATGTATTGTCTATAATATTTATATGTTTTTTGATCTTTTACCTCGTGACGATTGCTATGGTTAACGTATATCTATCTACTAAATTTTTTAAATAGATTTTAGTACAAATATATTATACTAGTATATACACTTTGATAGGATTGTTGCACTGTTAAATTTACGGTATAAAAAAAAAAAAAAAATTAAAACGTCCGATATGTATAATAACGATACGCGTGCAGCTATATTCGCGTTACACAAGGGAATGCGAAATCGTTTCCATATAATAACAATAACAAAAAATACCTATTAATCCCGATTGAAAAAGTTTTTGAGGTTGCGGAAATACGCGTAGAACGATTTATTATAGCATAATAATTATTGTTATTAATTATTATAATATATGTAATAGAATAGCTGCTATAATGCATTAATAAAAATATGAGAAGGTGGGTATAATATACCTATTATAAGTTTGTATATAATATGTGTGTAGTAGTAACTAGTAAATAGTAATAGGTATTAGGTATATAAGCATGCGCGGCTATGTTCCGACGACCTGCTGCCGCGCCACCGTTTTCCGCCGAGTTCGTTGGACGAGATAAATAATAATAATAACATTTCTTTTGTATTTTACCGACGCCGATAATTACTCCAATTATGAAAAATTTTTCCCCTCTCCCGTCGTCCATCCCTCACGACTACAATATTATTTTGTACATATTTTATTCGATAACAATAATAATAATATGATAGTAGTAATAATTAATCATTAGCTGTGGTGGGCAACGTCTATTGTGAACAATATGATATTATATGATTTTGCCGCCAACATCCGCTCGACGGTTCACTCTTCCACCCTCCCTCTTCAAAATCATCGTAGTCGATACCACACTATGCGCGAGCATATATTGTACTTTCTTCTTGTACTTAATGAATGACATGATACCATTTTCTCGTCCCCCCCCCGAAAAAAAAATATTTAAAAAAATTAATAATAAAACAAAAAATAAAAATAAAGCGACTTTCATCGTACACACATTGCGTGGAAAATAAATAATATGATATAGAAGAAAGAAAATCGTCTTTCATTGTATTCCGATAAACTGATTAACACACTAGGACATACACAAGCCTGATATACCGTACACTACACGTCTACACAACCATACAAAATGTTATTTATCCTCGACTGATGACGACAATCGCGTGTTTATAGTACATATTGTACACGTAAATATGTATAAAGATTGGTCATTTTATGTGATGCATAATAATATCCTGCACAGATGTATAGGAATCTACGTGGACCACAAACAGTCGTATAGACTGTATAGAGTGTAGTTGGCATGTAATTACTGACTGATAAGTAATAATATAAATAATAATATAATATAATTTTATTTTATATTTAGGTGAAGTATGGAGACGAATGAGGATCCAAGGCCTTCGCCTCTCGCTTCGGGTTTTCAACCGTTAAGACTGAAACGTAATAGGTAAGCATATAGGGTTAGTTTTATTATAAATTGATTTTGAAGAATCATTCAATACATACTTTAACGAAAAATTTAATAATATTCTTATAGTGAGACGTTAATGTGTTTTTATTGTTGTTTTGAACATTTAACATTATTTCGATAATTCTGGCTGGGTCCCTTCTAGCGGAGAAAAGGATCCACCATCGATTGACGCGATTTCGGGAACCACCAAATATAGTCATGTGTGCGCGGCTTATATACTGCACTGTTTGACGATTATACCACCTGTATAATATAATATATTATATAGGTACATGGAGAAAGAGCGAGTGGTCGGCGACTACACCAACAGCAGCAGCAGCCGGTCGACGAACAGAACGGCGGCGGCGATGTCGGCTCACATCAAACAAAATTTAGATCTTCCGCTAACCCCGCGGACGTACAGGCTAATAGAGGACCCCCCGGACCCCACAACACGCCCCCGCCCGGTGAACACACGCTGTCCGTCGTCTCATTACGCGTACATACATGCGTACATGCAATACACAACTGACACATGAAAACCGAGGAAAATGCATCAGACACCAACGAATATGAATAAAATTTACGTTTATGTATATCATGGTGTATGGAATATTGTATTTACCGATAGGCTTGAATGTAGAGGGATTATTTAGGGCTTGGCTAATCTAACTTGAGCTTCAGTCTCTCCTCATTCTCTTCAAATTTTAAATATTATGTGCGTTTATACACTAGCGTCGTTTAAAATTGATTAAATTCCATACATAATATATAATATTATGTACAACTGAATTACTTGATTATTTGGGTAATTTAAATATGATTATTGTAGACTTACAGCTTTCATAAACATAAAAAATTTAACGCACACAATATTTATTCAGGTTCTGACGTAATGCCGATGTATGCGTAAGAGAAATTACTTTACAAACGTAAATTATACTCAGTAGGCATGTATTATAGGGTAAATTTTTAATTTGGAAGTTCATCATAAAACTTATAAAGGTTACTAAGACGTATAGACTTTACTCATCTAATTACTTATTAACTTAATAACGAATAATGATTTATGAGAATTAGTTTTATTTGTGACTGGAAATTTATATGCAAATTGTTCAATAAGTATTTTAACTCTTGAGTATATCTGAATATCTATAGTGATTAGAATTTGTACAATAACGAAGTTGGTTTTCGCGCTTAGTAACTAATGATGTAGCAAATGAATATTTGTTGGCCGTTTGATAATATGTTGGAAAAAAACTGTATGACATTTTGACACAGGTTAAGTTTCTATTTTATCGAACTCTAAATTCGCTTTATCGGTCCAATATTGTACTTAAATTTTATATTGCATTTGGCATTGGAGCATTTTGGTTTTGGATATTCTGATAAAATACTAGCAATATTATAATATTGCTGTTTCCCGAAAAATGGTTCATAAAACGTGCGGATTGTGTTTCTAATAATCGGAATCACGTCTTTGTCAGATGTACAAATTGTAGTTGAGATTTTGGTATTGAAACCAAGTATGTTGAAGTGTATAAATATTAAATTATATTATTGTTATAAAAAATTATGTTTTGCAAATTATTGTAGGCTATAGGGTGAGTATACTGTGTACTTATAGAGTGTTTAAAAACTACGGGAATTTATAAACGTAAAAAATCCGGCCATTCGGATAGGTACACGTTTTCAATTTTTTAAAAATATTGTACAGTAATAAATAATAAAATAAAATAAATAGTTAAAATTATTAAACGTGCACGAATGATGTGGTTTTGATTAAGTAAAACTCGCATAACACCGCACGCCGTAAAGCAATAATTTTTTAATTCACAATCAAATATCGAGTGCATTGTGGTTAGAAATCATAGGTCGTCGAAGTTCGCATCAGACTTAAGACGAACGAATGAATGGAAAATGACGATGACTGTGGATCACATTGAGACTGATCATTATTACGCGTATAATAGGGTCGTCGATACAATAACAATTGACAATGTCAGCTATCGATCTACGTTAGTTTTTTCTGCGTCGCGGTAACTTATAAATGTTATGTTGCAGTGGGGTGGGTGGATGGAGGACGGTGGTGCGCGCGTATATATGGTTTTTCGACTTTCTACGCGGTTGTCGGATTATAATAATAATAATAATAATAATAATAATAATAATAATAATAATAATAGTAATAATAATAACAATAATAATAATAATAATAATAACAACAATAAATAATAATAAGTAGTAAAAAGGAAGAAGAGCGGCGGCGTTTGTGTGGCGTTGGCGCGTCGGATATATCTGTTATCTTATATATGCGTGTGAGTGTGTGTGTGTGTGTGTCGGTGGCGGCGCTTTTGATCCCGAGCGCGTTGCCTCTGGCCCGAAAACCGGTTGACAGTGTGTGTGTGTGTTGTGTTAGCGGGGCCGGTTGGATACTTATATACTTATATATTTATATATACATATAATAAGTGTATTATACGACGGACGCGTATCTCCTCGGCCCCGGACATAATTTGTACCGTGACGCGCGGCCCGGCGGCGGCGGCGGCGGCGGTTCACCGTAAAGATCTTTATATATATATATATTATATAGATCTTAACTTATAAGTATACACATATAGAATATAGATACATACATACATACAAACACGCGCGCGCGCGCGCCGCGAGTATGTGCGTATGTCTGTTATTATAATAATAATAATGTGTGTACGAGCGTGCGGCGACGGCGCTGCTAGCGGGCGCGACAAGCGGATTGTCGTCAAAAGCGTCGTATCTCTACGCACTGTGTATTGAACAGACAGCGTGTAGTCGCTTTATTAAACCATCGACGACGTCTTACGGACATCCTGTTAACTCGCCGCGGTCTGTTGAAAAAGAACCGCGAAAAGATTTTTGGAGGGAAACGGGCCATTGCAGCTTTTAAAAATAATTTCGCGACGCTTTGCGCCGGACGAACGAAAAAAAAAAAATATAGTAGGTATACCGAGCTGCAGGCGATGCACGAGAGGAGAACGAGTGCGCGCCGCACGCACTTCCGCCGGTCGGCCGGAACCGGCGGCGGCGCCCCGTCGCGGAGTCGACGTCGCTGCCGACGCGCTTTGATAGTATATTATAATATGACGCTTCTCCTTCGTCCTCCCCCTATCTTCCCACGCAATACCGTCCCGCCACTACGTCCGCGGGTTCTCTTTGAGACGCACCAACATTATTTTTAAAAACACAACCACTCTACATACCTAATAATAATAATAATAATAATAATAATAATAACAATAACAATTCATAATACACGAGTGTACGTACGTCCCGAATTACTGGTCGCATAATGTACATAGTACATTATAATACATGCATGTGATAAATAAATTATACCGAGTTATTGACGATATAGTAGTAGTAAATAATAATAAAATCATAAGCATATTAGGCTTTGTATATTATAAGTAAAAGTACCGACACCGACTTCACTTCTCGTCTCAAATGATTTACTTATATATTTTGATATATGTATGCGTAAAAACATACCATTTCTCATAGATATATATTTGATTATAAAATATTTAAACGCTCGTTCTCATATTGCTGTGAACGAATTAATTAATGTTTGACATAATTCCTACAGACATAATATAAAATAAATACTTTTTATAACCTTTCAAATACAATTCAATATATTAAAACTAATCGTATTCTGACTTTATACAACTTATGGACAATAATGTAAAAAATATTAACTGCTAAATAATAATACTATTAACTATTACGTGAAAAATGCTGATAATTTTTTTGGAAGAATTTTCTCACTTTTGTTTACATTTTTGTGATGAAATATTTATTAATATTGTAAATAAATGTTATTTCATTAAGTTGTATAATCAGTAATCACATAACTTAACTATTCTGTATTATTAGTTTATTGATTTGTGTATATTTTTATTATTGATTTAAAATGTTAAGTATCAATGTATTGTGTATTTTATATCTACACAGAAAACGAATAATGATAAATTGTTTTAGTAGTTAAAAGAATTTATACTACGCAGTGTTACTGATGAGTTAAAACTACAATTTGTGTAACTTTTGTACAGACGTCTAAAAATATTTTTTCATATAGAAAAAATAATAATTTTAATGACATAATATTAATTATTTATTTATGTACATATCTTCCTAAATTTTTAATTTTTTTTTTTTTGATTAATTAATACTGTAGAATATATAATCTAAAATAAGTATTAAAGCCTACAAAAACTAAGTTATTTTTCAAAGTTGCGTAGGTAAGTTATTAATAAATGTTTACACATTAGAGTAATTATTTAAAAAAAATATATATAATACAGTAAAAGTATTAAAAAATAAAGTTATCATTTTGAAAAAAAGTATATTTTTTTTTACTATTGATAAATTATTGTACAACGTATAAGAAAATCTTATAAATGAAATTGTTAATGACTTTTTAGCTAATAATCCTAACATTTTTGCCATCACTTACATAAAATAAAATAATAATAATATATACCTACAAATAAAATTAATAATAAAAAGTATAATTATTATAACTTCTGGTAGTTTTATTGTTAAAATTTTAAAAATATAATATAAAGAATAAGCATATTTTGGTACGATTGTCAGCTACTTTTTTTTTCAAAATTGAAATAAATTTATAATTTAAGAACACATTATCATATTCAATTTTTTTTAAACCGCAGTCATAATATATTAATATCCTATTATACTAATAAAGAAAGAAAGCTGAAAGAACAAATATAGTATCTGCCTTGTATTTATTATTTTAAGTAGGTATTTTATAGTTCTTGAAAATAATTATTTTTAAATTTAAACAGACCAAAGATGTAATAAAATTCTGACTAAATATAAAACGAATTTATCTTAAAAATAAAAACAAAGTCAAAAAGAAAATATTGTTAAAATGTAATATTTATAAATTAGCAATTATTTCATTTAATATCTACACCGATCTTAGGTTTGAACATTAAACCTTGATCACTATTCACTCTGCAATACTTTTTAACGGATAAAAAAATTAAACCAATTTTTTAAGTTAATAAATGATAAAACTAAACTTAATTCACAGTGTATTAAAAAAATAAATACATATATAATTTGAATTATTATAAAGATATTATATAGTGGATATTGGAGAAACTTATAAATGTATATTATGTAGGGTAGTTATTAATTATATCACATCACAATAGGACAAGCATATGTATGTGTAATGTGTATTATAATATTTTTTATCAGACAAGGTACTTACTTGTGTGATATCCATGTGTGGGCGATGGTTCTCATTTAAGCATTCGGAAAAATGGCACGTGTTCTTGGCGTGTCGAAATGGTCAGGCGGTTGAAAATCGGAAAAATCCAACGGATGAAAAAAAAAGTATAATAAAAATAACTCGTAAACGATGCACTATTATTATCGTTTAAAACTGTATTAAATCAAAGTTAACGACTGCAGCTATAACAGTATATACGCGTCGCAAATCGTCGGTTAAATATGTAAAAAAAAAATAAAAAAATAATAATGCAAATAATAACAATAATATTATAATTATTATTATTGAGTATGCATGTAGTCGTAAAGAAAGAGACAAACTGAGAAGAGTCACGATCGGTGTATTGAATTAATATAATAATATTTTATTAACAATAATGTAATATGACGGATGGACTGTGAATACCAGCGGACCACTGGAACACGCGGACGTCTGGTTCGAACTGGTATACCGCGCGCGCACGATCATATGGGCGCGCAAAGTCTGTACACGAGACCTACCCCCTCCTTACCACGATTGACGTCGTGTTATGGCGGTGGCGTCGGTAAATCCCTCTATAGATACATAATATATTATAATGATATTGTACGTGTAAGTATATAATAATATAATAATATTATACACATAGTATATGTACACACACACAATAGATCCGCCGGTTGGACGTCATTTTACTTTATCACCCTGTGTATCGATCACGTTCATCATTGGATTCATATAAAACAAGAGCTAAGACATCAGAGTATATATTTGCATGTTGTGACTGAATTTTTTGATTGAATTAATATTATTATTTCAAAGAGTCCACTTCTAAACCATTCAACACTTAAACACTTAATAACTAAGCTCCTTGTGAAACAATTTATTTTTACTTTAAAATTGTTCAATGGCTTTATAGGAATCTAGATTGTTGGATATTTTATATTAGCAGCCACTTAACATACACAGATAAATATTTTAAACTTATCTCCATTAACGAATTTCGTAAGCAAGTTTTAATAACTTTTAAAATTGAAAATGTATTAAACTATTCATTTTTAAGATAAATATTTAAGCAAATACAATAAAAAAAAAATTCAAGCAAATGAAATATTTAAACTATTATTAAAAAAAAAAAAAACATATTTTATTGGAAGGTCTCATTGTCGTCAAATTATTCTAATTGTGAACTATTTATATGTAGTAGTAACTTTATTAATTTGTACTACGTAAGTTTTGAACTAAGCACAAATAAAGCATAATTAATTTTTTGGAAATAAATTTAAATTTAAAAATTAATAAGTGAAATTCATGATATACATCTAAATATACCTATTTGATTATTTTATGTAATCCTTCTCTCTATGCATTCAACAAATATACATATTACAGTATTGTTTATTGCTATGGTATGTTTTTGTAATCGAAACAGATTAATTGTATAAACGTGTATAAAACTTATTTGTTTTGAATGAAGGTATATGTTAAATAGATATACAATAGTGATTTGTTTATATTTTATTTGTATTTATAAAATATAATTTAACGAAAAAAAAAATATGAATAAAAATTTAAAGTTAGTTTGGTTTAATTTAGTGATGTATAAAGATAACGTTATATCATATTCAGGCGTAACGATCATAGGGTTTAAGTACTCCAAGGCATGAGGCATTTCCGAAACTTTTGTTAGTGATAAACTTTAGTTTTCCTAAAATAAAAATTGAGTTAATGTAATGTAAAAAAAAAAAAAATAAGTGATGAAAGCTTAATACTTTATGTGCCGTAAAAGGGTAAAAAAAATAACTAAAAATAGTAGTTTTGAAGTTTATTTAAAATCCAATTAAAAAGTTATGGTATTTGCGTGAAAATATGTAAGAGCTGAATGATTATGGAACTTCATATCCTCTTTATAAAATATCCTACAAATTTAAATTTCCTAAAAAGCAACTAGACAATTCTTTTATTTGAAAAAAATTAATTTTTTTTGCTTATTCGATTATAATAATTACTATATACAGACGGTTAATGTGATAAATTATCTTATATACAAATCATTTAAAATATAATTTAATAAAAATATTAAAGAAACGAATTTTACATGCATAATTGTATTTATATGCGAGATATAAATATTATTTTATTGTAACATAATATAATCGTTTGAAATTTAACATTCTCTTTTTCGTTAAAGAATATAAAATTATATTTTTTATGTATCTAATATTTGATCATATGATTATTTACATTTAAATATTAAGTACCTATTGAAAAGTAAATATTGATTATGATAACAATCTTATCAGGTATTTTTATCAATTGTATCTAATACTAAAACAAAACTATATTTATTATTTAGTATACATATACTCGTACTTATTACAAGTATTTTAATTGTAAATTTATAAAATAAATTGTCAATTTATCAATAAATAAAAATGTAAATATATTCCATAGAAATTTCGTTAAGATAAAATATATGTTTACACCAATAATGTTAAATGATATACTGCAGAAATTGTGTATCATATATCCCATATACCGTACATCGTATATTAAGTGCAACATTATTACCTACATTACTACATAAGAAAAACGAGAGTTTAAAGTTTATCTGGGTTAGTTATTTGATGTGACTCACACGCAGTAATTTGTACCTATAACGATGTAATTAAAATAAAAAATAAATAAATATCGTTATCAAAACTTTTATGTTTTACTTCTCATATATTATACATCGTAGTATGTCGGACATAGATCTACCGCAGATATAATGTAAATCATAGTAAATAATTGTCCATTCAGATTTTTCTCTTTGTAAGGTATTATTATCTCTGTATATTATTTTAACAATATAAATATTTTATAAAAAATTTAAAAAAAAATATATATATAGGCAATCTTAATAAAAATAATCGATGTATTGATATCGTACATATACGGTGATTAGTCATGAAATTAAATTCATCTGGTGGAATGAATGAAATATACAAAGATAAATAATTTAATGAAGTAGATAAGTAGGTTCTTAGTTAGTTATTATAATGTTAATAATAACATATTAGTTATCACGTACTAAATGGTATTAACGAGTCAATTTCTAATCGGTATTATATCCTTCTGATATACTCATACAAGTGGTCAGATTCGATTTATCACTGTAAACAAGCCAAATACGCTATTCCATTTACAAACAACACTATTTATGAGCATTTAAAAGTAGCAGGCACGATACATTTTATACGTAATTACACGATTGTCCGATTTCAAGTGTATTAAAAACACATACATTTAGATATAAAAATATAGTATACGAAATAAATATTGCTTATTATTGATTTTAGCACAAGACATTTACACTGCAGTTTAAAGAGTGCCACTTGAATAATTTTTTTCTGTTTACTTTCGAAACGTTGATTTTAGTTAAAAGGGTTTGTGATTTTAAAATGATTGTATTGTTCGTTTTTAATTATATTTGTTTATGACAATGGAACCTAAATCTTAAATAAGTACTTTATTCGCATTAATTTATACACTGAATGCTAAATATTTTGGTTTGAATTTAAATATAAAATTTAAATTGCAGGTACAACACATTTATAATATATGTTAAGATAAAAAAAAATTAAATAACTATATTATATTTTCTCCCCATGGGGTCAGGGCCTTAGGGGATTCAACAAGTCCTATACCATTTAAATTATCTACTTAATGCGAATTTAGCATATGCACTTTGAAGTTTCTCATTACTGTATTTTACTTAACCTTTGGAAATGTATAATCAACCATTTCCCTGCAAGTATAGAGACAATTGTGTAATGTTACTTCGTCGTTAACCCGTTATGATATATATATATTTACCATAACGATATATATTACAGCACACTACTGCCAGGGGCGTACCCAAGGGGGGGTTTTCGGGTCCGGATCCCCAATTGAAATTTCTACATTTACACAATTGTTTAATAGTAAATAGTATAATAAGAGTAGGTTTACAGTGTATTTTAATTTCCCATTATCTTCAATAAACAAAGCTTATAGATTATAATATATTATAATGTATTAATGTATAAACCGTGTTTAATTTATACCAACGACCAGGTACGACTGATTGTCTTATTCTGTGCTCATACTACGAACTGATTAGATTAATAATTATGGCGCGAAGTGTTATCAGTGTTAAACATAATTAGTAAATCTTCAGAAGAATATTTCAAAATATCAATATTTATACCATTTTTGGATTACTTTATAGATCAAATAAATAGTCGTTTTATTGAACACAAATTGGTTTTAAAAGGTTTTAAAATGTTATTTAAAAATGAATTGGACAATAATTACATCGACATTTTACAGTTGATTCGGATAATTTAAGTGAACCTGATATTGTAATAGCAGAAATTAAGATGTGGAAAAACGTAACTGAAGAAGATCAAAAGCCAAAAACTGTGATACAATTTCTACAATTTTGTGATGAAGACTTGTTCCCAAATATATACAAGTCAATAAAAATATTATGTATATTACCGGTCACGACATATACTTCTGAGAGAAGTTTCTCTTCATTAAGAAATCTTAAAACATATCTCAGAAATACTGTATCAGAAGACAGACTAAATAGACTTGCGATGCTTAATATTCATCGAAATGAAATCTTAACACCAGATGATATATATTTGAGGAACTTGTAAAAAAAAAAAAACAGGAGATTAAAATTTAAAAATAATTATATAGTTATAATAATAATTATAAGTTAAATAATGTAATTTTTTTTAACATTTTATTACCAAATAAAAATTGATTTAAAATTATAGTACCTACCTATTGTAGTAAACCTTTTTGTATATGTGCTGTGAGTGTGTGTATAACTATTGTAACTATTATTATAGTTATTAACAGTAATATGTTGGTAATAAATTAAACTATATTTATAATTAGAGAACAGATAAAATACAAATTTTGGACCCCCCACATAAAAAATTCTGGGGTACGCCTCTGCATACTGTAGTAGTGAGGTATACCTTTTCTGGTTATTATAATCAAACGGTGTAGACATTTTAAGTTTTAAACGTTATCTTGATTAATATTATATTAGTGATATTTATTATTTATACATTGAAAAATTGAAACAGTTTATATATTATTGTTGTAATATTACGTATATCTGTCATGATGGAACATATTGTTACCTATGTATTTTAGTGGTGGTATGTACGGCAGCGACGGCCGATCGCGATAAATAATAATATAATGTATATACTATATTATGTAGTTCTTTATTATTGATATTTATACTGCCACATTGGTGATGGCCGTTTAATATAATAACTAGATATATAACCTATTTGTCAACTACAGGGAACCGCACGTTCGAAAGATTAAATTCGTAAGTTTATTTATCTCCGAGAGTTGTGTACAAAAGGCTGACAAAACTTAGCACTTTATTGTAGCAT